TCTCTCTCTCTCTCTCTCTCTCTCTCTCTCTCTCTCTCTCTCTCTCTCTCTCTCTCTCTCTCTCGTTTAATTTAATAAAGTGGATAATAATAGCGTATATAGTTCCAGGCAAGGTCACGTTTTATACAGACGACAAAAATGGAATCTCTCCACCGCCGGTCGCGAATGAGAGGTGGACACGCCGCCGTGCTGTTCTGCGGTTCCCTTGGGCGATTTCGGGCAGCGCGGCGGGGAGGAATAAAAATAACAGTTTTTCACATGCACTGTTCCCTACGAAATTAGAGTCGACTGCCACACGGCAGGGAAAAGAGGAGAGACGATCGAAGTAATCGCTTCCGTAAGCGATTCCCAGAGATTGCTGCCCCGCTCCCGACAAGACGCCTCGGACACACTGTTGGACGCCGCTGATTGCAATTACCTGTTTCTACGTCATTAAGCAAATACGCCGTTTATCAGTCTGCCCTTGGAATTAGCCACGTTTAATTTAATAAGGAGGATAATAGCGCGTGCCGCTCGAGCATCTTGAGAGCGTCTTTCTCTCTCTCTCTCTCTCTCTCTCTCTCTCTTTCTCACACACGCTCTCTATCCTCCTCCTTTTTCTCCCAGGACAACAACGAGAGCGAATCGCGGGGACCCTTCGCCCTCTCGATCATCGCGAGAAGCACGCGGAGCCTCTAAGGACCATCCAACAAGTATCTCGCCGTAGGAATAGAGAGCCCGGGGGAACGAGACGAGCGAGGATAGGCGGCGGAAAGCCACGGTGGGGAGAAAGAGAGAGAAAGAGATAAGGAGAAAATACGTAGAGCACCGAACATCGACGGCACGGAGGGCATCGACCCTAAATGCACTGTCCTACGTCCGCGCTCTGTGCGGTGCCTTGTGGTTTTGCCACACCGGCGCACTGCGTGCGCGAGTCGCTTAGGCGAAGCGCGGCTAAGCGCGCTGCATGAGCTCGCTTCTTCGCTCATTCGCCTCGATCTACCATCTGACTCGTTGACAACGTGGACACGGGGCGAGATCGACTGAAGAGGCGGCGAGTGGCGGGCGAGAGAAGTTCGCCCGGTTGAAATAATGATTTCGGGGTTGAACGAACGCAACGAGGTCACGCAGGCGGACGCCGCGCGGTGTTGCTCTTCCGGGGGCTGACGGAAACGGGGTTGCACTACTTTGACAGCTGCTCCTCCAGCTAGTCGTTATCGTCCCCCGGTTGCTTCAGCTCGCAGCTCTTTAGCGGCCTGCAGCCATGTTTCTGGAAATATCAAGATGTTTCGCGTCTCGCGCTCCCGCATTCCTCGCGTTTTACTCGGTACTCTTGCTTTTCTTTGTTCACCCCAAAATCCAAATTTGGGAATTCCAAGTTTTCCTCAAAGAGTAGGCAAGAATTTTTCTCGCCCGCGCTTCGCGTTCCTGCGCTTCTTCCTCGCATTTAGCATTTTCTCGTTTGCTCGGGAATCTTGAAATTTGAGCGACGAAAGTCAAGCGATACTTTTCTCCGTCGTGGAATAACAATGACATCCGCAAATTAATAATAGCGACGGTTTAATCCGAATGTACACGGAACGTCGTCCGAGTCTTTGCTCGGCTGATTGCCGACCGGCTGTTAGAGCTCACTGCTGCCAGCAAGAAACCTGCTAAATCGCCGCACGAAAGAGTTTAACGATCGCGTCTCGAACGGTACAAATTACTTGGCTTCGTGGGAACGTTCACAATTTTAGAATCGTGCCGATGTTGCGCGCTTTGTTTATTAGTGCGCACTTTTTCTCACTGGAATGGGAACTAATGGTAAATGCGTGTTATTTATCAACGCACTTAATAGGTAATGAAAAGCGCATTCGGAAAAATTCCATGAAATATCGTTATCCATTTACTTCGTCCAATTATTACTTCCATAGAGAGCCAAGACTCATATCCACAGCAAAGATAGAAATACCCAATTCGTTGTCGCAAACCATTTCTAATATCAATATAAAATGAAATTTTCTTAAAAATTCTTTAAAAAACTTTTTTTAGTTAAAGTAAAACTCCATTGATTTGGTTTACATTAATATAAATTTCGCGTTTCAACTCTTTTGATTTTTTCCTTCAGCGGAAACATTTAATGTATATCTTCAAACTTTTTTCTCGCATCGACAATACACACAAAAGAATATATACTGCATTCAAGTAGATGTTACTTGCTTCAAGTATATCATAAATTCATACAACTGTGAATTTATCATAAATTCATAATAAGTATCAAATTTATTCAAAATTTATCCTGAGTCTTAGTTAAGTTTAACATTTCAATCAAGAATATTAAAAATACGGAAAAAGTGATTTAGGGTTTAAATAACTTTTCGATTGTAGAGGTTAAGACTATTATGAAGAAAATACTCTTTGTTTTCAAGAATCATTACCGAAAAGAAGGAAGATAAACTGGGTAAACGCTTTTCTTAGAAGTAGAATATTTTCTCGTGTCTAGACCTTTCCGATATATCACACTGGACATGATCTCATTTAGAGACGGTATGATATAACCTACCGATTTTACTTACGAAAATCCGATAAAAACAGCACGCGCTTAAAAATAGCTATCTCGAAATTTCTTGAATTTTCCCCGACAGTACCGTTCAGCGCAGGTTATTCCTTCGCATTTAGCGTTAAACGCGCGATGAGAACACGGTCCATTGTCAGTTTCCGACTGTGTCGCCGTGTTGTTGATGCAACTCACTAACTCCCCTGGAGTCGGCGTCGTGGAAAAGGAAGGGAACCTGTTCGCGCGAGGCGTTCCTTTAACCTCGCGTTCCGGCATGCAACGGAACCGCCGTGTCGTAAGCGCGTTCGCGTTGTTGCACACGCCGCATTCGCCTCTCTGTCGGCGCACGAACACCCGCGCAACAGGGAAGAACACACATCCGGGGGAAGGGGGACTGCGTAGGAGATGGAGGCGGTGGAAATGAGCGGAAAACGTTTCCGCGACGGGAAGAAGGGAGAGATAGATAGATAGATAGATAGATCAAGAGAGAGAGAGAGAGAGAGAGAGAGAGAGAGAGAGAGAGAAGCAAACTAAATATACGAGAAACGGCGAAGAGACCGACACGTCATTGAAAGAAAAGGGGTGAATGAGTGTTCCTCGTTTATCCGATAAGAGCCGAGAATCGACGACAAGGAGGGCAAGAGACGCGATTGCCGTTGTTATACGACCCTGTTTGGAATACGGTAACGGAAGGATCGTGTTCCGGCGGGGAGCGACAAAATTCCGCGCGAAGGAGTTTACGCTAGGGGGATGATCCGGCTGCCAGGGAGCGAGGGGACGCAATTGACGGGATCGATCGAATGGAAATTGACGAATTAAATCTCCTCACGTGTTCCACTGTCGCGCAGGAATAACGGGACTCCGTTCAGTCCAAGTGACGGGACGCGATCTTAAAAAGGTGTCACGCAAATCTTACAGGAGATGGTTTTGAACTTCATCACAGGGAGAGTAAGAGGGTGCTCCTCGTTTACCGGCTTCTGCCGCACGCGGTGCCCGTTCAATGCGCGATCGCACGAACAATCGCCGCGCGGTGTGTCTATTATCTATTATCTCATCATCTCTGCCGCTCTTCATTGTCGTACGTTTGCCACTCGCGGCACGTGCGCTTTTACCGTTCCGTTACAATTGACAGGCGGCTTCCGAATGCGATTTTACAGCGGCGGCGACGCGGCGATTCGCCCGACACAATGCCGGACGAAAATAGCGCGTGTGTCGCGGCGCGAAATTGACACGGGAATGCGCGAGGGAAGCGCAACGTGGCACATACCACGTCGTCGTCGCGAGAAGAACGCTCCAGGATCGCTCA